TGATGATACTCTTGAAACTCAAGATGATACTCATGATACTAATGATACTCATCGTGATACTCATGATACTCATAATACTCATGATACTAATAATACTTATAATGATACTCATGATACTAATGATACTTATGATGATACTCATGATACTCATGATACTCATGATGATACTCATGATACTCATGATACTAATGATACTTATGATGATACTCATGATGATACTCATGATACTCAAGATGATACTCATGATACTCAAGATGATACTCATGATACTCAAGATGATACTTATGAAATTAATGATTATCATGATGATACTAATGATAATCATGATGATACTCATGATACTCATGATGATACTCATTATACTCATGATACTCATGATGATACTCATGATACTCATGATACTAATGATACATATGATGATACTCATGATACTTATGATACTCATGATGCTCAAGATGATACTCATGATACTAATAATACTCATCATGATTCTAATGATACTCATAATACTCATGATGATACTTATGATAGTTGTGATACTCATCATGATACTCATGATGATACTTATGATACTAATGATACTTATCATGATACTCATGATGATACTCACGATACTAATGATACCCATGATGATACTCATGATACTCAAGATGATACTCATGATACTCAAGATGATACTTATGAAATTAATGATTATCATGATGATACTAATGATAATCATTATGATTCTTATGATACTCATGATGCTACTCATGATACTAATAATACTTATGATACTCATGATGATACTCATGATACTAATGATACTTACGCTGATACGCATGATACTTATGATAATCATGATGATACTCATGATACTCATGATGATACTCATGATACTCATGATGATACTCATGATACTCATTATACTCATGATACTCATGATGATACTCATGATACTCATGATACTTATGATACTCATGATACTCAAGATGATACTCATGATACTGATAATACTCATGATGATACTTATGATAGTTGTGATACTCATCATGATAATCATGATACTAATGATACTCATGATGATACTTATGATACTAATGATACTTATCATGATACTCATGATTATACTCACGATACTAATGATACCCATGATGATACTCATGATACTAATGATACTCATCATGATACTCATGATACTCATTAGTATCATAAGTATCATCATTAGTATCATTAGTATTATGAGTATAATCATGAGTTATCATGAGTATAATCATGATACTAATAATTTCATGATGATACTAATGATACTAATTATGATACTCATGATACTAATGATTCTCATAATGATACTCATTATACTTATGATGATACTAATGATACTCATCATAATACTCATGAAGATACTTATAAAAAAATGATACTAATGATACCCATGATGATACTCATGAAACTCAAGATGATACTCATGATACTAATGATACTCATCGTGATACTCATGATACTCATGATACTAATGATACTCATGATGATACTCATGATACTCATAATACTCATGATACTAATAATACTTATAATGATACTCATGATACTCATGATACTATTGATGATACTCATGATACTTATGATGATACTCATGATATTCATTATACTCATGATGATATTCATTATACTCATGATGATACTAATGATACTCATGATGATACTCATGATGATACTCATGATACTCATGATGATACTCATGATACTCATGATGATACTCATGATACTCATGATACTAATGATACTTATGATGATACTCATGATACTCAAGATAATACTCATGATACTCAAGATGATACTCATAATACTCAAGATGATACTCATGATACTCAAGATGATACTCATGATACTCAAGATGATACTCATGATACTCAAGATGATACTCATGAAATTAATGATTATCATGATGATACTAATGATACTCATGATGATTCTCATGATACTCATTATGATTCTCATGATACTCATGATACTCATGATGATACTCATGATACTCATGATACTAATGATACTTATGATGATACTCATGATGATACTCATGATACTCAAGATGATACTCATGATACTCAAGATGATACTCATGATACTCAAGATGATACTTATGAAATTAATGATTATCATGATGATACTAATGATACTCATTATGATTCTTATGATACTCATGATGCTACTCATGATACTAATAATACTTATGATACTCATGATACTCATGATGATACTCATGATGATACTCATGATACTAATGATACTTACGCTGATACGCATTATACTTATGATAATCATGATGATACTCATGATACTCATGATGATATTCATGATACTCATGATGATACTCATTATACTCATGATACTTATGATACTTATGATACTCATGATACTCAAGATGATACTCATGATACTAATAATACTCATCATGATTCTAATGATACTCATAATACTCATGATGATACTTATGATAGTTGTGATACTCATCATGATACTCATGATACTAATGATACTCATGATGATACTTATGATACTAATGATACTTATCATGATACTCATGATTATACTCACGATACTAATGATACCCATGATGATACTTATGATACTAATGATACTCATCATGATACTCATGATACTCATTAGTATCATAAGTATCATCATGAGTATCATTAGTATCATAAGTATCATCATGAGTATTATTAGTATTATGAGTATAATCATGAGTTATCATGAGTATAATCATGATACTTATAATTTCATGATGATACTAATGATACTAATGATGATACTCATGATACTAATGATTCTCATAATGATACTCATGATAATTATGATGATACTAATGATACTCATCATAATACTCATGAAGATACTTATGAAAAAATGATACTAATGATACCCATGATGATACTCATGAAACTCAAGATGATACTCATGATACTAATGATACTCATCGTGATACTCATGATACTCATGATACTAATGATACTCATGATGATACTCATGATACTCATTATACTCATGATGATACTCATGATACTCATGATAATACTCATGATACTCATGATACTAATGATACTTATGATGATACTCATGATACTCAAGATAATACTCATGATACTCAAGATGATACTCATGATACTCAAGATGATACTCATGATACTCAAGATGATACTTATGAAATTAATGATTATCATGATGATACTTATGATACTCATGATGATTCTCATCATTATGATTCTCATGATACTCATGATACTCATGATGATACTCATGATACTCATGATACTAATGATACTTATGATGATACTCATGATGATTCTCATGATACTCATGATGCTACTCATGATACTAATAATACTTATGCTGATACTCATGATACTTATGATAATCATGATGATACTCATGATACTCATGATGATATTCATGATACTCAAAATGATACTCATTATACTCATGATACTCATGATACTAATGATACTTATGATGATACTCATGATACTTATGATACTCATTATACTCAAGATGATACTCATGATACTAATAATATTCATCATGATTCTAATGATACTCATAATACTCATGATGATACTTATGATAGTTGTGATACTCATCATGATACTCATGATACTAATTATACTCATGATGATACTTATGATACTAATGATACTTATCATGATACTCATGATTATACTCACGATACTAATGATACCCATGATGATACTCATGATACTAATGATACTCATCATGATACTCATGATACTCATTAGTATCATAAGTATCATCATGAGTATCATTAGTATCATAAGTATCATCATGAGTATCATTAGTATCATAAGTATCATCAATGATACTTATCATGATACTCATGATTATACTCACGATACTAATGATACCTATGATGATACTCATGATACTAATGATACTCATCATGATACTCATGATACTCATTAGTATCATAAGTATCATCATGAGTATCATTAGTATTATGAGTATAATCATGAGTTATCATGAGTATAATCATGATACTAATAATTTCATGATGATACTAATGATACTAATTATGATACTCATGATACTAATGATTCTCATAATGATACTCATTATACTTATGATGATACTAATGATACTCATCATAATACTCATGAAGATACTTATAAAAAAATGATACTAATGATACCCATGATGATACTCATGAAACTCAAGATGATACTCATGATACTAATGATACTCATCGTGATACTCATGATACTCATGATACTAATGATACTCATGATGATACTCATGATACTCATAATACTCATGATACTAATAATACTTATAATGATACTCATGATACTCATGATACTATTGATGATACACATGATACTTATGATGATACTCATGATATTCATTATACTCATGATGATATTCATTATACTCATGATGATACTCATGATACTCATGATGATACTCATGATGATACTCATGATACTCATGATACTCATGATACTAATGATACTTATGATGATACTCATGATGATACTCATGATACTCAAGATGATACTCATGATACTCAAGATGATACTCATGAAATTAATGATTATCATGATGATACTAATGATACTCATGATGATTCTCATGATACTCATTATTTATTTATTTATTTATTTATTTATACCAACGGTCAAACCAATACATAAATATGACAAAACTTATATAAGACTAAAAAAAATAGACATTTTTGATGAAATTTTAGCCAACTTGAAGTACATTCAATAAATAGATTAACAATGATAACAGAAAGATATAAGATATAAAAAGATATAAGAAATAACAAGGTATAGATATAACAAGATATAGATATAACAAGATGATATAACGATATAACAAGCAACAACAGTGTAAATAGGAAATAAATATAACAAAATATAGTAAATAACAATATAAATATAAATATAAAAGTAACAATGAAGCATAACACGGACAAGAACAACAAAACAATAATGATAAATCTACGAGGAACGCAAGCTGCTAACGAGTTTTTTTTTAAACGTTTCATTGTTCATGCTGAACAAGTCCAATTGACCAGGTAGGTTGTTTGCCAGACGTTGCAGACGAGGAAGTGCACTGTGGTACATGTACTGTGTTGAGTACTGCCGCCTCGCAAACAGCTGGGTATGGCGAAGGCTACGTGATGTGCGGAAGTCTAGTTCCAAGAGCAGGTCGGGAGCATCAATGGAGGATGTGATCAATTTCTTCAGGAATAAGACATCATTTACCTCACGTCTGGTAGAAAGAGGCAACAGGTTCAACTGGAGTTGCAGATCATGAACAGGAACAGCACGGTATTGCATCCCCAAACGTAGACCAACCAGGCGAACAAAACGGCTTTGAGTGTTTTCCAGCCTGGCGATCTGACCAGACTGGTACGGATTCCAAACTGTGGAGGAAAACTCAAGTATGGGTCTGACAAGATGGATATAAAGAGTTACCAGTGCCGATACTGAAAATCTGTCATGACTGACCCTGGTGATGAAATTAAGTGCTGAGTTGGCCTTCTTGCAAATGTAGTTAATGTGCTCTTGAGGATTGAGGTCAGGAGAGAGTATGATGCCTAAGTCTTTGACCTTTGAAGAACGTTGAAGTTGCTGATCTGCTAGTTTATACGGATGAATAATAGGATTATTAGATCTGGTGAAGGTTACCACAGAGCACTTTGAGACATTCAAAGACATTTCATTCATCTGGCACCACACTGACAGTAAATCAATACTATTCTGTAGAGCCTCGCAGTCTCTCACATGTGAAATCTCTCTGAAGATCTTGGCATCATCAGCAAAAAGCAGTACATTTGAATCCAAATGCTGAACCAAATCATTGATAAATATGGTGAACAAGGCCGGGCCCATATGATTCCGGGTATTATGATCATTATGATACTCATGATACTCATGATGATACTCATGATACTCATGATACTAATGATACTTATGATGATACTCATGATGATACTCATGATACTCAAGATGATACTCATGATACTCAAGATGATACTCATGATACTCAAGATGATACTTATGAAATTAATGATTATCATGATGATACTAATGATACTCATTATGATTCTTATGATACTCATGATGCTACTCATGATACTAATAATACTTATGATACTCATGATACTCATGATGATACTCATGATGATACTCATGATACTAATGATACTTACGCTGATACGCATTATACTTATGATAATCATGATGATACTCATGATACTCATGATGATATTCATGATACTCATGATGATACTCATTATACTCATGATATTTATGATACTTATGATACTCATGATACTAATAATACTCATCATGATTCTAATGATACTCATAATACTCATGATGATACTTATGATAGTTGTGATACTCATCATGATACTCATGATACTAATGATGATACTTATGATACTAATGATACTTATCATGATACTCATGATTATACTCACGATACTAATGATACCCATGATGATACTCATGATACTAATGATACTCATCATGATACTCATGATACTCATTAGTATCATAAGTATCATCATGAGTATCATTAGTATCATAAGTATCATCATGAGTATTATTAGTATTATGAGTATAATCATGAGTTATCATGAGTATAATCATGATACTAATAATTTCATGATGATACTAATGATACTAATGATGATACTCATGATACTAATGATTCTCATAATGATACTCATGATAATTATGATGATACTAATGATACTCATCATAATACTCATGAAGATACTTATGAAAAAATGATACTAATGATACCCATGATGATACTCATGAAACTCAAGATGATACTCATGATACTAATGATACTCATCGTGATACTCATGATACTCATGATGATACTCATGATACTAATGATACTCATGATGATACTCATGATACTCATTATACTCATGATGATACTCATGATACTCATGATAATACTCATGATACTTATGATACTAATGATACTTATGATGATACTCATGATACTCAAGATAATACTCATGATACTCAAGATGATACTCATGATACTCAAGATGATACTCATGATACTCAAGATGATAATCATGATACTCAAGATGATACTTATGAAATTAATGATTATCATGATGATACTTATGATACTCATGATGATTCTCATCATTATGATTCTCATGATACTCATGATACTCATGATACTCATGATACTAATGATACTTATGATGATACTCATGATGATTCTCATGATACTCATGATGCTACTCATGATACTAATAATACTTATGATACTCATGATACTCATGATGATACTCATGATACTAATGATACTTATGCTGATACTCATGATACTTATGATAATCATGATGATACTCATGATACTCATGATGATATTCATGATACTCAAAATGATACTCATTATACTCATGATACTCATGATACTCATGATACTAATGATACTTATGATGATACTCATGATACTTATGATACTCATTATACTCAAGATGATACTCATGATACTAATAATATTCATCATGATTCTAATGATACTCATAATACTCATGATGATACTTATGATAGTTGTGATACTCATCATGATACTTATGATACTAATTATACTCATGATGATACTTATGATACTAATGATACTTATCATGATACTCATGATTATACTCACGATACTAATGATACCCATGATGATACTCATGATACTAATGATACTCATCATGATACTCATGATACTCATTAGTATCATAAGTATCATCATGAGTATCATTAGTATCATAAGTATCATCATGAGTATCATTAGTATCATAAGTATCATCATAAGTATCATTAGTATAATCATGATACTAATAATTTCATGATGATACTAATGATACTAATGATGATACTCATGATTCTCATAATGATACTCATGATACTTATGATGATACTCATGATACTCAAGATGATACTCATGATACTCAAGATGATACTCATGATACTAATGATACTCATCGTGATACTCATGATACTCATAATACTCATGATACTAATAATACTTATAATGATACTCATGATACTAATGATACTCATGATGATACTCATGATACTCATGATACTAATGATACTTATGATGATACTCATGATGATACTCATGATACTCAAGATGATACTCATGATACTCAAGATGATACTCATGATACTCAAGATGATACTTATGAAATTAATGATTATCATGATGATACTAATGATACTCATGATGATTCTCATGATACTCATTATACTAATGATACTTACGCTGATACTCATGATACTTATGATAATCATGATGATACTCATGATACTCATGATGATACTCATTATACTCATGATACTCATGATGATACTCATGATACTCATGATACTAATGATACATATGATGATACTCATGATACTTATGATACTCATGATGCTCAAGATGATACTCATGATACTAATAATACTCATCATGATTCTAATGATACTCATAATACTCATGATGATACTTATGATAGTTGTGATACTCATCATGATACTCATGATGATACTTATGATACTAATGATACTTATCATGATACTCATGATGATACTCACGATACTAATGATACCCATGATGATACTCATGATACTCAAGATGATACTCATGATACTCAAGATGATACTTATGAAATTAATGATTATCATGATGATACTAATGATAATCATTATGATTCTTATGATACTCATGATGCTACTCATGATACTAATAATACTTATGATACTCATGATGATACTCATGATACTAATGATACTTACGCTGATACGCATGATACTTATGATAATCATGATGATACTCATGATACTCATGATGATACTCATGATACTCATTATACTCATGATACTCATGATGATACTCATGATACTCATGATACTTATGATACTCATGATACTCAAGATGATACTCATGATACTAATAATACTCATCATGATTCTAATGATAATACTCATGATGATACTTATGATAGTTGTGATACTCATCATGATAATCATGATACTAATGATACTCATGATGATACTTATGATACTAATGATACTTATCATGATACTCATGATTATACTCACGATACTAATGATACCCATGATGATACTCATAATACTAATGATACTCATCATGATACTCATGATACTCATTAGTATCATAAGTATCATCATGAGTATCATTAGTATTATGAGTATAATCATGAGTTATCATGAGTATAATCATGATACTAATAATTTCATGATGATACTAATGATACTAATTATGATACTCATGATACTAATGATTCTCATAATGATACTCATTATACTTATGATGATACTAATGATACTCATCATAATACTCATGAAGATACTTATAAAAAAATGATACTAATGATACCCATGATGATACTCATGAAACTCAAGATGATACTCATGATACTAATGATACTTATCGTGATACTCATGATACTCATGATACTAATGATACTCATGATGATACTCATGATACTCATAATACTCATGATACTAATAATACTTATAATGATACTCATGATACTCATGATACTATTGATGATACTCATGATACTTATGATGATACTCATGATATTCATTATACTCATGATGATATTCATTATACTCATGATGATACTCATGATACTCATGATGATACTCATGATACTCATGATGATACTCATGATACTCATGATGATACTCATGATACTCAAGATAATACTCATGATACTCAAGATGATACTCATAATACTCAAGATGATACTCATGATACTCAAGATGATACTCATGATACTCAAGATGATACTCATGATACTCAAGATGAAACTCATGAAATTAATGATTATCATGATGATACTAATGATACTCATGATGATTCTCATGATACTCATTATGATTCTCATGATACTCATGATACTCATGATGATACTCATGATACTCATGATACTAATGATACTTATGATGATACTCATGATGATACTCATGATACTCAAGATGATACTCATGATACTCAAGATGATACTCATGATACTCAAGATGATACTTATGAAATTAATGATTATCATGATGATACTAATGATACTCATTATGATTCTTATTATACTCATGATGCTACTCATGATACTAATAATACTTATGATACTCATGATACTCATGATGATACTCATGATGATACTCATGATACTAATGATACTTACGCTGATACGCATTATACTTATGATAATCATGATGATACTCATGATGATATTCATGATACTCATGATGATACTCATTATACTCATGATACTTATGATACTTATGATACTCATGATACTCAAGATGATACTCATGATACTAATAATACTCATCATGATTCTAATGATACTCATAATACTCATGATGATACTTATGATAGTTGTGATACTCATCATGATACTCATGATACTAATGATACTCATGATGATACTTATGATACTAATGATACTTATCATGATACTCATGATTATACTCACGATACTAATGATACCCATGATGATACTCATGATACTAATGATACTCATCATGATACTCATGATACTCATTAGTATCATAAGTATCATCATGAGTATCATTAGTATCATAAGTATCATCATGAGTATTAATAGTATTATGAGTATAATCATGAGTTATCATGAGTATAATCATGATACTAATAATTTCATGATGATACTAATGATACTAATGATGATACTCATGATACTAATGATTCTCATAATGATACTCATGATAATTATGATGATACTAATGATACTCATCATAATACTCATGAAGATACTTATGAAAAAATGATACTAATGATACCCATGATGATACTCATGAAACTCAAGATGATACTCATGATACTA